AACCTCTTTCCATCTCCATCTATTTTCAACCTAGCTACTTTTATCATATTTCATTTCATCTATCAATATTCCATTACCAAAAAAAATAAATTAAAAAATCCCTTATTAAACTTCATGTCAGATCCTCAAAATTTAAACCAAGTTTTCCCCAAAGGACATCATGAAGAAGAAATATTAATATTAAACAAAAATAATAGTAGTAGTACTTCTAGGCATAGTATTGGTGAAGATTTGTGTCGAACACCAACTTGTCGGAAAAACAAGATTCCGATAGTCGGAAGCTGTCCTCCCCCGGCTCCGAAGAAACCGAGGGAATTATTGCTAAGTAAGAGGAAGTTTTCACAGTTCGAATTTTTTGAAGTTGGTGGAAATGAAGAGTTGGAGAAGTTCTTCATATCATGTAATGAAATTTCTCGAGGTATGGCCGTTAAGAAAAGACTTCTCATGAATTAATATAGTTTTATTATATCCAAAGTATTAGTTAATTAATTTCATGTGAATTATAAGACATATTATAACCCTTGATTTTTTTAGGGTTAATAAGTTCCTTATTCACGTTATATTTATATTCTCTGTTTTTTTATAGAATAGATTCTATATTATATATAGCTAGGTGATGAAATAAAATGATGTGTGGAAATTATGGTATAGTACCATAGTTGATGTGTATAAAAAGTGTTGCATTATATGTTTCCTTTTACTATGAATAAGTTTTGCGAAAAATGTTTTTATTCCTTTTTATTCTGAATTAACTATTGCGCGACTTAAGATTTTATTGAGATTTTTTTTTTTTTTTTTTTTTTTTTTTTTTTTTTTTTTTTGAGTTTTCACCATTGGTTAATTAATAACTGGGCTTGTAGTTTTGATTGATTGGAAATGCTCATAAATCATGTGAATCTCCTGAGATTTAACCTCTTGTCAATATAAAATAGATTGAAGTTTTAATAATAAGTATTGTTTTCACGGGTGTTCAGCCACTTGACGGTAAGGACAGGAATCTCTTACAGTCATTTTATTTCAACAGTGTCCTTCAAGAAAATATTAATCATTATTAAAAAAAATAATAGCTCTCATTATTTCTTACTTTTTTTTTCCTTCACCACATTTATAATCTTTGTATATTTGTTAAAGAAAGAGTACAAATAGGAAAAAAACAGATTAATTCTCTCTTAATTTTTCAAAATAGAATGACAAATATTATTTTCAATTAAATATTTATAGTAATTATGACAAGTAAATAAATACTTAGGAATGAGTATCAATGGCAATTATTGTCGACGAATTTTTTGAATGCGCTAGGTTTTGTTTGGTATGGAGGGAAAAGTTTTCCAATAATATGTTTATAAATCTTTTCATGTTTGATTATTTAATTTTTTTGAAGAACTAGAAAACAAGTTTTTAAGAAATGAAAAAAAAAATTGCTTAAAAAGTAATGAATTTAAGTTTAATTCTATGCTATGTTTCTTCTTTCCACTCTCCAACACATCCATTCTGAAATACATATTTATTTAAGAAAACATTTTCATTTCTATTAAACACACCCTAAGTTACTCCGTTTTTGACAAATCAAATCATCAAATAATGATTTTCAATAATTTTCAAACGATTTGTATTGATAAATTAATTTGAAAGAACTATCTATATTGGTTCATAGCTAACAACGTACACTTCCATTGAAATTCTTAACAATGACTTTTTCCGTCTTTGAGAATATGATTGACCAACATATTAACTAACTAACTATGATAAATTGAATTAAATTTAATTTGTATGAACACCGACACAATATATGTTCGCACAAAAATGCAAATGACTAGAGTTATTGACTATAGTACTATTTTGCCCAATAAGTGTTGTTTGGGTTTTGTCCATATACTCCGTTATAGGTTCATTATCAACCAGGTAGCAAAAATAGACTCAACGAGGCAAAATATTTATATGTAGTAGACCCATTCATTTTGACTGACCTACAATAGTACTGTAAAATTAATAATTTTCTTTTGTTTTTTATAACATTTGAAAGCATAGAAGAGAGAATATATATATTTATAGTACTGTTCGAGACTTAAAATTATTTAATTTAGGAAATCTTTCTTTAGAAAATTAACAAAGGACATGTCAAAATGTCTCAAGACTCTACCCCTAACAACTTTTCTGTGGACCAATTAAGGATGTGACAAATATATGATAAGCAACGTGAGTATTTAAAGCGTAGACAATCATATAGAATCGACCATGTGAGTTATGACTCCTTAGTACAATTTTATCGTATGCCTTAGAATGTTGCACATTATTATTAATTAATATGGTTACAAATGAAAGTCACCCTCAACACATCTAAGTAATACATACATGTATATATTATATATCTTTCAGTGACAGAGTCAAAATTTTCATTAAGAAGATATAAAAAAAGTAAATATACGTATAAAAACTAAAAGAATTCAACACTCATTATATATACATAAAAAAATAAAAAATAAAAGAAAAGCCAACGTTTCCTATAGTTATTATTTTTTGGATAGATAAGTCACTGGATTCACGAATATATTGCCAGTGAATTGAATTATAAGAAACCAACTAAAGGAAAATGAAAATAGTACTCCAACTGCGACTGAACTAATTTGGAAAAGATAGACAAGAGTTGTTGACTGTATTGTATTGTATGGGATGAATAATGTCCATTCTGTATACTTATAACAATTGTGTCAACTGTCACCGTTATGGCTCAATACATTTGTGTGTGCGCACTATGCACATGTTCTAGTGGTAGTATGGTCCGATAGTGTTCATTATCCTAAACCAGGTAACCATAGATAGATTCATTGAATCAATGAAATCGAACTAAACTCAACTTTAAAAGCTAACTCATTAGGTGAAGAATTGTTCAAGAACATATAAAAAGTTGAAGTGCATCTAAATCCATCGATATGGAATTCCAACACCTCCTTCCTCACCCATCATTGGATAGCTTGATCGTGTGCAACTGTGCATTATTATACGAGAGCCTAACATTGGTGATAAAAAATAAATTAGATAAGCTTAACTCTGTTATTAAAGAAAATTACTATAAAAGCTGACTGATCAAAAGATTAACTTATAAAAATAAATTTATGAAGTCTGAGATATAACATTAGGTAAACAATGAATTAGATACCCAACAACTTTTCTAATAAAATCCACATTCTTAAATCTTGGTGTAAAAATACAGTAAACTAATGATTTTGTTGTCTTTTTACATCATCCGAGGAAAGCTTTCAACAAAATTCAATTATTTCCTTAGGAACAATACTCCACATGGCTATCCAATTAATTGTCACAACCCCTAACTACTTCTCAGTGGACCAAAGGGATGTGACACTATCATAAACAACGTGAGAATTAGCTCGATCGCTATACGCTACTACAAATTATCGCAAATGAACGTCATTTTCAAGATTGAATCGTGTGATTGATATATAAAAATGATATTGAATATCATATGTTAGTAATACTAATATTTGTAATATTGTTAGTAATTATTTTTGCATTATCTATGTCGATATTATTTCTTATAAAGTGTTCAATTAAGTATATTAAAATTAACATATATGACATAAGATATTGTTAAAAATATTTGTTTATAAAAATATCCTTCATAAATAATTAAATATAATTAAAATGATGTAAAAAAGATTTTTAGAGATGATTGTGCTTAAATCATGCTAATGAAGGAACTAAAACCTCTTACATTGCGAATTATACAATAATGTATATTAGATATATATAACTTAGTAGCAAATAGTTGGTAAACTACTATTTGCATTAATTTTAAAAAGTATTCCAACAAAGTATTATAGCACACAAAGTTAATTCCAACATATAAATTTGCTGCTTTTAAAACAGAAACAATGAAAATTGATAAGAAAGCTGGAATCTTCTTTACTCTTCATTTTTACCCACGTATCTTGTAACTTCCACTATTTCAACACATGTACTCCACGTGTCACTCTCTTAGAAACCTCTCAACAGTGAAAAAGCTGAAAATTCCCCTCTTCATATACTACTCCACCGTACATTTTTCAAAGCACACTCCAAAAAAGAGAGGGAAAAAACGAGAAAAAAAAATAAAATTCGAAAATGGCGCCGAAGAAGCGTGGAGGAAGGGCCCGTGCCACGGTGGTCACCGCCCGGAAAGTGGTGGAAGAAACCGTCTCCGTCGTCGTCTCCGGCGAAACGGAGACAGAAAGTCAAACTTTGACTGAAGAAAATCAATCATTCGAAATACTAACTCCACTTCCTTATGAAGAACCTACGCCTAAAAGAACCATTAATGTTCAAGACAAATCCGAAGGAAAAAAGGCCCAACAAAGAAAACCCGACCCGGCCCAACAAGTAGATGAAGTCGAAACGCAACCAGCTGATGAGCCAGAAGAGATGCCATCACCTCCGAAAAAGGAAGCGGTTCGAAAGAAGGCCCAGAAGAGGAAACCCGACCCGGCCCAACGAGTAGATGAAGATGAAACTCAACCAGCTGAGGAACCAGAAGAGATGCCTACGCCTCCGAAAATGGAAGCGGATCAAAAGAAGGCCCAGAAAGCAAAAGGAGGAGGAGGAGAGAGGAAAAAGAAGAGGGCGAAAGTGGGTGGGGGAGTGGGACCCAGTGAAGGGTATAGAAGGTATGTGTTTAGAGTGATGAAGCAAGTTCATCCAGATATGGGAATTTCATCAAAGGCTATGATGATATTGAATAATTTGATGGGTGATATGTTCGAGAGGATCGCCAATGAAGCGGCGATCCTCACGAAGTACGCGGGACGTGCCACGTTGGCGTCGGTGGATATTCAGGATGCGGTGAAATTGGTGCTGCCTGGGGAGCTAGGGAAGCATGCAATTGCAGAAGGGACCAAAGCTGTTGCTAACTATGTGACTAGTGTTGAAAAGTCGAAGTCGAAGCCCTAATTGTTAGTTAGGTAGCTCTTGTGAATATTTAGGTTTCATTTTGGTTTACACTATCCTTTCCTAGCTAGGTGCTTGATTTGGGAAAATCACTGCATGCAAATATCGGGCTCTTTTTTGTAGTAGTTTCAGCAGTTCTTCCGCTTCCACGACAAATGAGCCTTTTTTTTTTCCTTGGTTTTCCGAATAAATTTAAATTGCAGACACCACAAGTAGAGCTTAATTCTACTGATGATAAGTACAACACGTTGGATCTAATAATTAACAAACAATGTTTCCTATACTTGCCGACGAATAACATGTAAAGGTTATAAGAGGAAGAAAAATAGATTACCTTACAACACATTTCACACTGTACAAAGTTGGAATTTTAAGTAAATCCATCTAAACAGATGAGTCTATTCCATCACTTAAATCATAATTTACATATGGTGAGAAGGGAAATCATTTTTTATAATCGAGAAATCTCCGATGTACAGCTGACGCATGGTTAGAAACGTCGTTGATAAAATGACCTGCACTTCTATATGATCTCCTTCTTTGTACAAAGCTTCAATAAGTCTATCCACAGCACACTGAATATATGCACTACATCAAGGGAACGTAGTGGATATAGATGAAAATTTGGTCTAAAAGATTTCACCTATAATATTGGTTTTACAAACATGACATCTGCAAATTAAGTTCAATGTTAATGAAAATATGAAAGACAAAAAAACACAAAAAGGATTGTCACAGAGGAAAGACGACTTACCCAGACAAGCTAAAGCAGCAACGGATGCACTCTGCTTCACAGGTATTGTTTAGTTTTCTACCAGTTATGTACAGAAAAAGCTCGGATCACTTATTATTTGACGTTACCCGCGGGTAATTTTGGACGTTTTTCTCGTCACCGGACCAATTTTACTGGAAATTTGAGCATGTGCACATACCCCCCTGCACCAACATTACTGTATAGAAAAAGCTCGGATCGCCTCAATTACTGGTGCCCGGCACATTGGACATTTTCCGTTCCGCTGGATCAACTTTTCTGCACATTTTAAACATGTGCTCATGTGTCCACACCTGCATCAATTTCGAATGAATAATTCCCTTGAGCTTACGCATTCAAACATAAAAAAAAAAACCAGAAAAAAGGAAGGAAGGAAGAGGAGTCTCTAAGACTGCTCAAAAATAGAATCTCGAGAAATGAATGGACAAGGATGTTCATATATATATAGTTTACCTATACAGTAAGGCATCTATGCTGCTATTAGAACACAAGCAACAAATCCCTTTTCTCACATTATCCCATTTGGATTGCACACTGTCCTCACATGCATCAATGTCTGATCAATAGAACGAAACGAAATTATTCTAAATTCATCTCCGTTTCAGGAGAAGTGTAACTATAATATGGATACAAGAACCTATTTTTAGATGTGAAATCTAACCTGTTGAACAAGCATATCGATTTAAGGCTGCAGAAACATTTTGATGAACCGTGCGTTGGAGCTCAACTTGCATTTCCATACACTTTTCAAACATCCTCTGCATATTGTCCATCCTCTGCTGAAGCCTAACCATGTCATTCCTCAACTCATGTATGACTTCCCAATCCTGCAGTAGGTCAAACGAGTATGGAGTCCTTTAAATCTTATGGTCTTAAACTTGCCATGTATGTTGTTGGAATTGGAAAACTTACTAAATATAGAAAGAGGCACTCTTTTTTGAAACAGACTAAAAAAGAAAGTAAGACACTTCAATTGGGACGGAGAAAGCTACATAAATCAACTTCTCTAATTAAATTCAAGTAGAATTGTCAAGGAATATAAAGGTGAGCTTACTGTTCCTATCAACTGCAGAGAAGGTTCCACATGTAGTGAAGTCATGGCAAAGGGATTAGATTCACTATTTATCTGAGGCCCATCTTGATTGTCATATTCTTGAAGCAGCTCGTGGTCCGTATCATCAGGGGATGATGATGTTCCATCCATATACCATTCAGAAGCGTGACCTTGCCTTTCAACGTAAGATTGTATTAACTGGTCAAGACTCTCACGGAAACCACTTTGAAGCAGATTAGAGACACGCCTCCTACAGCATTAAGGAACCAGTTAAATAGCTTAAGCATCAATTTTTCGTAGAAAATGAATAATCCAGCGGTAACAAGAGTCCTTTACCTGCTAAGAAGTTCTCGAAGTTCAATATTGTAAACACTATCATCATCAGGCATGTAAAATGAATCAACCCTTCTCATGGATCCAGCATTCTGACTAGAAGGCATATCCAGCCAATCATTACTCTGCCAGTCCTCATGTTGTTCTTGCTCATAAATTTGTTCTTCAGTATCATTTTCTGAACTTTCTGGATACCAATGGTTTGCAGAATCTTCCTGCCAACTTCCGCTCATGTCTTCTGTAGTATTGTTTGTCGTTTCATTGTGTTCAGAAGAAGACATTTGCTTACTTTTGCCATGTTCGATAACTAGTTCATATGGCGCTTCAGATTGTCGCAAGTTTCTTTCCTCATGATCCGTGACAACGTCCTGTGGATCCTCTGCCTGAGATGATAAAACGTGCCACACATAGTCCTCAAAAGTACTACTTATCAAGCCATGAGAATGATCATATACTTCATGAGTATCACTTGCCTCACTTCTTGGTGCATCATTATCATGAAAGGGTTCATGGTCTTCTCGTACATGCCCTCGAGAACCACTTTCAACAGCTGCTATTTGATTTGAATGTTCAGCTATTTGATCAACCGAATTTTGCTGGTTTACTTCCTCAGATGTAATGCTTTCTGAGTTCCCAACTACATGAGATCCATCAGTTTCCCTCTCTTCACTATCGAGTTCAGATTGATCATAGGATTCATCAATTATCTCTTGTTCATTATTTGATTGAGACTGTTCACTTCGATGATGACGATTCAGGTCATCTGTAGAAGAGGCATTCAGCTGCACATCTTTTGTAGAATTACGAGCATTATCGACCAATCTGGATAATATCTCTTTCCTGTTTCACACACAATTTTAAGATATAACCTATGACTTTTGGATAGAAGAATTTATTTGCTAGATTTCTGTGTCCACTTAATTACTAAAAAAAGTAACAAAAGAAAAGCACAACCAAGCGGCTTCTAACAAAGATTGGTAGACTAAGGCGAGAGCCATTAATTTCGATAAAGCAAAAGAGAGAAATCAAGTGAGTTACTGCATTTGAAGCAAGTAATCCATGCATGGGCTTATCAAAAAGGCTAACATTCCAAAGAAAAATACTTTGCTCTACCTTAAATAAGATACAGTATGACTTTGTCTCAGTATGCCCAATTCACTTGCAGCGTCTGATGTAGTTCTTTCATCACTGGTCATCAATCTCTCGTTCCGCAGAAATCTACCCTTGAGCAATGACTATGAGAAGGTTTGAAACACTATCAGGAAAAACCATATGTTGCAAACAAATTTCAATGAAAAGTAGATCAATCAACATAATGCAAACTATCACACATCAAATCATATCCAATCCAATCAGATGTTCTTGTTATTCATATTCACTCCACTCAATTAATTAATAGTATCCTGTATGTTTATATTATAATCCTTAATTAATTAAATTTTCACGAACCAGGCTCACTGACTACTAAACTAATACTCTACATGTTTATATTATAATCCACTCAATAACTTTTTCTTTATGAATCCAACAGAAAATCTGCAGCCATAATAATATAACTAGAATAGACTAAAAGATTAAAAATGCACATTCCATGAAAAGCAGTCTCTACTCAAGTCTTACCTGAATCCGATTGCGGTATGTGAAGTTTGATACAGGTTTACATTCCAATAAGCCCTGAATTTCTCTTTGCCTTTCCATTTGAAACTTCATCAGCAAATCAAGAAGGGCTTTTCTGCCGCAATACATACGCACGGATTTTCTCTCTCCATTTTCAGAATGATTGAACAAAGATCCATCACGCACTTGTTCGAATTGAGAACCGATATCAGCAGCGCCATCATCTCTTGGAGAACCCGCGCCACTTTGCTGAATGTTGATTTTCACCCACTCTCTTATGATTCTCACCCTTTCTCGTTCATTTTCCCCTAACCATGGTGCCCCCAAGCAGTTGTTCTTATGTGAGACACTCAATGATTGAGAATGGTCCTTTACACCAGTGCTCATCCAGTCCTGAAAAACCTGCCTCACCCTCTCGCGTTCAATTTCCCCAAGATCACTAGATTGATCTGAGAGAATACTACGGTTATCCTCCGATTCATTTTCCAACACATTCTGGCTTTGACACGCCACACGTCCATTACAAGCCTCATTGGCACCTTCAAAGCTAGCATTTCCCATAACAATTCCCTGATCATACAATAAAAAGGGGCCTGTACTGTTTGAGTTTTCAATGTCAGTCCTCTGTTGTATTTTCCTTTCTCCACAACGAGCATGGGAATTATTCACCCCATGTTCACTCTCTTGATTTTGCCACATTGCAAGGAAATGATTGCCCAGATGCTCACCCTATCTTGTTCACTCTGCCACCTTGATACCGGAGACTGCCAATCTATAAGGAAATAGTCAAATGCATAAACTGATTAAACTAAGGATACCCAGCAGAGGTATAATATGTGGATAATTGTATATAAGCTATGTATACCGGGTAGAAAAAGTAAACAGTAAAACTGTCCGGCTATTTGTGTGAAGATTCCGTACTATATATGCCAAGAGCCAATCTTTCACCACATTCGATCGTTTAAATTCTTGAAACATATTGGTATCTCATGGACCAACCAGACAGCTTCTCAGGAACTGATACTATAGCAGTGCAACTATAGTCAACAGATACATATATAAAGTCTTAATGCAACAAAATCTACAAAACTCGTAATAAGGAGATTAAAAGAAAAAAGCCACTTGTGCTATTGCTTTGTCCATTATGCATTAGGATCCAACGTAAATATATCAACACGCATCGAATCAAACAATGTTAATCTTAATTACCACATAAACAAAAGAATGGACCAAAACTCTCAACCAAAAATCAAATAAACGGTGAAAGTAAAATTAAAATACTTAATCGTTGAATTAATTCAGCAAAAAGAAAAAAAAGTAAATTGCACCCAAAATGTGCCCTAGTTGGTCGATGAAGTGATTGAAGATCACGAGGTTTCTGCAGGTTTAAGTTTAA